AACCTGTGACCTTCCACAGGCACAGAATGTGCGCGCTTCTGAGCTATGCCCCCTTCCCCAAAGGATTTGGGCAACATCAGTCACTGCAAGATTTTGATTATTTCAATAAGCGTGGCCACTGTATCTTCCATCAATTGTGTGCATTCTCTCAGTTTCCTCCCCAAGAGCATGGAGTGGAGCTGAATTGTTGAATGGACGCCTTTGCAGACAGGATACAAGCTGAATGCCAGGTGCTGAAATATTTTCCTGTGCAGCGGTGTAGTGCATGTGAATTGCTGATAACACAAACAATACGGTAAAGGAAAAAGTGGTAGGGGAGGAGAACAATTGGGTTCTGGAAGTTGTTGGGACACAACACCCCCCCCCCCTTTAAGCTGCCTTCTCAAATACAGAAATATGGGTGTTATTAAGAAGTGTACCAAATCTGGCCTCAAAGGCTGTTTGCAAAATTTCTCCTTTGCAAATCCAGTGGTAAAGATTTCATTAGCAATGAGCAGTCAGTGGGTTGGATTCAGCCAGCTTTCCCATTCAATCTCATGTAAACTTGTTACCTAGTACAGCTCCTGTCCCCCATGCCTTTTATCTATGCAGATCCCATCATCCCCAGCATAGCCTTTTTGGTTGTCAGAAGTAACATCTTCCTCCCTTGTTTCATCAGCTGGTGGATCCATAGGGTTGCCAAGCTCCAGGTGGCACCTGGGAATCCACTGCTATTACAATTGATCTCCATATGACCAAGATCAGTTCCCCTGGAGAAAATGGCTGCTTTGAAGGGTGGATTCTACAACATTATAACCTGCTGAAGTCCCTGCCTTCCCCAAGTCCTGCCCTCCTCCAGCTCTACCCCCAAAATCTCTAAGTATTTCCCAACCCAGACCTGGCAACCCTATGGATCCAAACCAGCATTTGACACTATCAGGCATGTCACATTTAGTAACAATCAATAGCTTGCCATTGAAGCACAGTTACAATCAACACTGGGAACACCCTGGTAAATTACTCGCTGTAATGACTAATAAACAGTGAAGTCCATTCATCTGACCAACCTAGAAACATCTCTTGAAGATGTGAAGCTGCCACTGAAAAGCTGGATTTTGATATCAGATTTCAATTCCAAAATTTATCAAATATGGATGTAGAATTTTGAAAACCAAACTCAAAGCATGACCATTCATGGGATTTCACATTTCCCCCAAAAGTGTATTTCAGAACACTCTCCACTCTCCAGAACACTCTCTTCTTTAAAAAAAAAAAAAAGATAATAATGCAGACCGGTAATTTCCCAGAGCTTACTGGTAGGGCTGGTTCTTTACACACCCATTACTTGACAGATTTATTTTTATTTATTTAAGAATTTTGGATCTTCCTTTATGCAAGGCAGGTTACAATTCACCACACAAAGATGTAGTAAAAATACAGTCTGCCTCAAAACAATCTAAAAATGCCAATAAAAACTACTGACAAGTGAAAGAAAGATTATTCTTTAAAAGGCCGGCAAAAAGCAACAACCAGAAAACAAGTCCTGAGAAATACTAGCAATGAATCAGAAGGGAGTAAAAAGATCCAACCCAATCTTCACTTGCCGTAGATGTCTGTTCCTGTTGGGCAGACAAGTACTGGTGTATGTGCTCAAGGCCAAACCAGGCATTCTTTGGGAACCAGGGCAACTAAAACAGTACACGATATTCCAAATAAAGCCTTGCCACCAGTGTTCCCTCTAAGCTGAGTTAGTGTGAGCTAGCTCACAGTTTTTTAGCCTCTGGCTCACACGTTTTTGTCTTAGCTCAGGAAGGATGGCTCCAGAGCAAACTAATTTATACAGCAGCCAAATCACTCGCTCACAGCTTTAATGCGAGTAGGTCACAAAGTAGAATTTTTGCTCACAAGACTCCAAAGCTTAGAGGGAACATTGCTTGCCACTGATGTATACAAGGGCCAATTTATTTTCAATCCCTTTCCTAATAACCCCTATTGTGGAATTTGCATATTCACTACTGCTGAGTTGATGTTTTTCTTAAGCTATCCACCACAGGGTAAGGGAAGGTGGCACGGTGTAGCCCAAGCTCATCAGCTCTCAGAAGACCAGCAGGGCTGGTACTTGGATGGAAGACCACCAAGGAAGGCTCTGCAGAGGAAGGCAGTGGCAAACCTCCTCTGCTTCTCACTTACCTTGAATGCCCCTTGCTCGTGTCACCATAAGTTGGTTGTGACTTGATGGTACTGTTGGTTGTGACTTGATAGAGCTGGGAGTAAGCAGTGAAATGGCTAAATTTGCGGATGATACGAAGTTGTTCAGGGTGGTGAAAACCAGTGAGGATTGTGAGGCACTCCAAAGGGATCTGTCAAGGATGGGCAAGTGGGCGTCAACATGGCAAATGGGGTTCAATGTGGCCAAGTGCAAGGTGATGCACTTTGGAGCCAAAAATCCTAAATATAAATACACATTGATGGGGTCTGAACTGGCAGAGACTGATCAAGAGAGAGATCTTGGAGTTGTAGTAGATAACTCACTGAAAATGTCAAGACAGTGTGTGACTGCAATAAAGAAGGCCAATGCTATGCTGGGGATTATTAGGAAGGGTATTGAAAACAGATCAGCCAATATCATAATGCCCCTATATAAATCAATGGTGCAACCTCATTTGGAATACTGTGTGCAGTTCTGGCCACCACACCTTAAAAAGGATATTATAGCTTTGGAAAAAGTGCAGAAAAGGGCAACTCAAATGATAAAAGGGTTGGAACACTTTCCCTATGAAGAAAGGTTAAAGCGCTTAGGGCTCTTCGCTTGGAGAAACGACGCGGGTTAGAACGGATAAAAGGAAGTACTTCTTCACCCAAAGAGTGATTAACACATGGAATTCACTGCCACAGGAGGTGGTGGCGGCTACAAGCATGGACGGCTTCAAAAGGGAATTAGATAAGCATATGGAGCAGAGGTCCATCAGTGGCTATTAGCCACAAGGTATAGATAGGGGCTCTGGGGCAAGTGATGCTCTGTCTTCTTGGTGCTTGGGGAGGGGGGTCAACAGTGGGAGGGCTTCTAATGTCCTGGCCCCACTGGTGGACCTCCTGATGGCACCTGGTATTTCTGGCCACTGTGTGACACAGAGGGTTGGACTGGATGGGCCTTTGGCCTGATCCAACATTGGCGTCTCTTATGTTCTTATGCCCTTATCAGGGCTATTTTTGGGCAGGAACGCACAGGAACGGAGTTCCGGCTGGCTCCTGAGTTGGCCACGCCCAACAGGAACTCATTAGCATAATAGGCCACACCTAACAGCAGAAACTCATTAGGATTGGCTACATTAGGGGTGTGTGGCCTAACATGCAAGGAAGTTCCTGCTACAAAAAAAAGCCCAGGGTTTTGACAACAAAGTAAACAGAATAAGAAGCAAAAGGTGGGTGTGGCTGGATGACCACACTTCTGGTAACATGGGTGTGTGTGGCCTAATATGCCAATAAGCTGTGCTATCAGGGGTGTGGCCTAATATGCTAATGAGTTCCTGCTGTTGGGTATGGCCTGTTATGCTAATGAGTTCCTGCTGGCCTTTTTGTACAAAAAAGCCCTGGTCCTTATGTACTTAGGCACATGTCTACCACCAGCTTTTCCCCCCTGGTTCAGCACCTTCAGTTCACATCTCATCAGTGAGTACGCGCAGTTACCATTTTTATAGATGCCTTACTTTATGATTACTTTTATTGCCCATTAAACTGAGACCAAACTAGGGATCAGAAGTATGATTTCTTCCTTCTGATTCAGCTGAGTGCCTTATTATGAACTGTTTTGTCAGCAACTGGCACTGGGCTGAAAAAAGTGACACCAATTATGTGTGTCAGGTCCCCTTTGGAAGGCAAAAGATATATGAAATCTAGCTGGGGAATGATCCATCAAGGCCTAGAACAGGGCACCAGGCCTGTCACATTGACAGGGTATTGAGTGAGCCAGCAGTCTCTCTGGACAGGCAGGTTATGGGGAACATTATATCATCCCAAGTCGATCTTCCGGCTGAAGAGAGTGAAAAATGACACTAAGAGGGTATTTGCGATGGTATATTGACTAGGAAAAGCCTGTACAGAGAGACCTTATATTGGTTTTAAGCTCACATGCCCTAGTGTTGTAGTGTTAAGTGACTAGCGATTAACAGAGTTGTTAGATCGCACTAACAAAGGACTCTTAGAGTGATTCAGCAAGTGATTCAGCTTTATTGGAAGTAACGAACAAGCACTCAACTCAGTAAGAAACCAGAACAGAAAACAGTGGGAGCTTATGCTCCTTTTAAACATAACCGGGCTAATGTAGCCACGCCTATTTACAATTAACAACCAATGAGATTGCTTAGTTAAGGACCAATGGGAGTCTTTCCCTCCTAGGGAATGGTATCGTTCTGATTGGTCGCTGTTACGAAGCGACCAATAGGAAGTTCGCTCAGAGGAGCCCTGGTCTGGCTCGAAGCTTAACATAGGAGTCCTATGAGGTGATTCATGTAATCGTTTCAATACATTACAATTCCTCCCCCCTAAGTTAAGTCATCATCCATTTGTTTTATTATTTACAAACATTCAAGTCATGCTGTTGTACATCGACTGTTCCAAAATACTTTATTACAATCATAGTCTTTTAGATAAGTCGGCATCTGCCGCGTACGCTGAGACCTGCGAAGCGGTGCAGGCTCTATGGGCACACAAGGTTGTGAGTCACTGTGGGGTTCACTACAGCCTGGTTCAGGCACAAACTCTACTGGGGTTTCAGCCCCGCACACAGGGGTCTGCCCTGACTCGGGGACAGTACCGGGCCCTTCGGTACTCACCGCCTGCTCTGGGGGTCTCCACTCAACATTGGGGAATTCAGCCGTCGGAGAGTCAGCGCTGTCCTTAGCCCAACGTCTCCTTAGCTGATCTATGTGGCGCCGCCATACTCGACCGTCAGCCAACTGTACCACATACATGCGAGTACCCACAGAGTCGGATATTACCCCAGGAAGCCATAAGTGACCATTAGCATAATTTCGGGCGAAAACCTTGTCTCCTTTTTCAAACATGCGCACCTTCGGTTGCGGTTCTGTACGCTCGGAGTGATCGTCAGTTAGATCCGGATGTAACCTGTTTAAGCAGGTTGTGAGTCTGCGTCCCATTAACAATTCGGCCGGACTACGGCCTGTAGAACTGCAAGGGGTGGTATGCTGCCGCAAGAGGAAAGCACCCAGCCTTTGGCTCCAGTCACCTTCGTTCATTTTCCCTAGGGCCTCTTTTGCCGTCCTTACCATCCGTTCGGCCTGGCCATTAGATGCCGGATGGAAGGGGGCCGAAGTCATTTGGCGGATGCCATTACTCGTGAGGAACTGCTTAAACTCCTCAGAGACAAATTGAGGCCCGTTGTCACTGACGAGGACGTCAGGCAACCCGTGCGTGGCGAAAAGATGGCGGAGCGCATGGATCACGGCTAGTGAAGTGGTTGTTTTCATGCGCACAACCTCTAACCATTTAGACATTGCATCCACTACTATGAGAAACATGTTCCCCTGGAACGGGCCAGCGAAATCCAGATGCAATCTGGCCCAGGGTTTCCCTGAAGACTCCCACCTCTGAGGCGGAGCTTGTGGGGGTTCCGGCCTGACTTGCTGACACTGGGAACACACGCGAACCCAATCCTCAATCTCTTTATCCAGCCCAGGCCACCAGACATACCCCCTGGCCAACGCTTTGGTGTGCACCATTCCAGGGTGCCCCTCGTGCAGAGATTCTAGAACTCTGTTCCTGAGCTTGTCAGGGACCACCACCCTGTTGCCCCATAAAACACAGCCCTTAGAAATGGACAGTTCACTTTGGCGGCATTTGTAGGGTCCAAATTCAGGTTCAACACTCCCAACTGGCCACCCCCTCCAAACCCAGTTTAAAACACGGGACAGCACGCTATCTTTAGCCGTGTGTGCAGCAATGTCCCTGGACGATACAGGAGCCTGAGGGAGTTCGTCCAGTGCCAAGACCTCACAAGCAGGAGCAGGGTCGGGTCCCGCACAGGGCAATGGGCAGCGGCTGAGGGCGTCCGCATGTCCGATTGCCTTCCCAGGCCGGTGTTCAAGGTCATAATCGTACGCCTGCAAAAAGAGCGCCCATCTAAGCATGCGCGGGGACATGATATTCGGCAGTTGCTTATCGGGTGCAAAAATCCCCAGTAGCGGCTTTTGGTCAGTGACCAGCAAAAATCGCCTGCCAAAAATAAAGTCATGGAACTTTTTGACAGCCGCTACTAAAGCCAGACCCTCCTTGTCAATCTGGGCATAGTTCCTTTCTGCCTCAGAAAGAGATCTTGAGTAAAAAGCGATTGGCGCCTCGCTCCCATCAGGCATCAGGTGGCTCAAAACCGCGCCAATTCCAAACGGTGAAGCGTCCGCAGCTAACACCAGGAGCTTCTGGTCATCATAATGCGTCAGCACGTCATTAGACACCAACAGCTCCTTAACCCCCACGAAAGCCCTTTCTTCGGCCTGTCCCCACTTCCATTTCGCCTCCTTATGCAAAAGTGCGTGCAAAGGGGCCGCCACTGATGCCTTATGCGGTAAAAACGCATGATAAAAATTGAGGAGTCCTAAAAATGATTGGAGCTCCTTCTTACTCACCGGCCTGGGGGCGTCTCGGATTGCAGTCACCTTGTCAGTAGTGGGGTGCACCCCGTCTGCATCAATCCTGAACCCCAAGAACTCTACACTGCTAACTCCCAGTGTACATTTTGAACGTTTTACTCTGAGCCCAGCGTTTTGGAAACGCTTCAAGACCTCCTTCACCCGGTCCATCAACTCATTTTCAGACCTCCCCGCAATTAACACGTCGTCGAAGTAGGGCACCGTCCCTGGTACCCCCCTCAAGAGTTGCTCCATCAGGCCCTGAAAGATGCCGGGCGCCACATTTACCCCGAACTGTAGGCGATTCACCTTAAAAGCCCCCCTATGGGTAACAATAGTCTGAGCCTCTGCAGCCTCAGGAGTGACAGGCAACTGCTGGTATGCCTGTGCCAAGTCTAATTTGGCAAAGATCTTTCCGCCCCCCAATGAAGCCAGGATGTGGCTAATAACCGGGACGGGATAGGAGTGTTGTTGTAACGCCTTGTTAAGGGTGCATTTATAGTCTGCGCATAAGCGTATGGACCCATCAGGCTTAACTGGTGTTACTATAGGCGTCTCCCACTTGCTGTGAGGAACAGGTTCCAAAATTCCTTGTTCCACGAGTTTATCAATTTCCCTCTCTACTTTAGGCCTGAGGGGAATTGGAACCTTCCGATATTTCAGTCTGATCGGCTTTACAGATGGGTCAAGTTCAAAAGCAACCGGGGGCCCTTTGTACCGCCCCAGACCCTCTGCAAACACATCAGGGAACAGGTCATACATCATATCCCATTTATTCTCAAGCAATTTGTTAATCCCTGAAATACCAATGCCCAATGGCTCAAACCAGTCCAACCCCAGCAGGTTGACCCGGTCTCCCTCAGCAATAAGACATGACAGTTTAACACATTTCCCCTTATACTCAACATGTACAGTGTCTCTTCCGGCCAGGGGAATCCGGTTGCCCTGGAAGTCGGACACTCTGGTCTCCGCAGGCTGGAGCCGCCGTCTGCTTCTGGTCGGAAACAGCTGTTGCCAGGATGCTGCAGAAATCACCGTTACAGAAGAGCCGGAGTCCACCTCCATAGTGCATGGTCTGCCGTCGAGGAGTGGGGTCACGGTGATCTTCCCTTGGCAACTGGTGCGGTTTACAGCCGATGCGCTTGTCCGGGTCGTTGTAGTCTGGCAGCTTGCTTCCGATGCCGGGAAACGCTGCTTGCTGCTTCGGAAATTTGCGGGGGTATTCTTTTGTGCCGACCTGCTGGTAGGTGAGGGATCCTTCCGTGCCGATCTGCAGACTCTGGCCAGATGACCGCGCCGTCCACAGGCTCTGCAGTCGACATCCCGGGCCCAACAGGAGTCGCGCTGGTGTTTCCCGCCACAACCGGAGCAAGGCTTGATGTTGGTAGTCTTCGCTGGGGTCCGCTTGCCTCGAACCGCGTTGGCGTCATCATCCGCGTCTTCGCCCTCGCTGTCTCGTTGAGCGTGTATACTGGGCTCTGCCACCCGCTGGCGGACCTCCTTCGTGGACCTATCCGCTGCTTCTGCGGCCAAGGCCTCTTCGTAGGCCACTGCCCAGGTCAGAGTGGTACGGGCGAACAGCCTTTGTTGTAGCTTCTCGTCTCTGAGGCCGCACACAAGACGGTCTCGGAGGGCTTCTTCCACGTCATGGAAGTTGCACGGCCGTGCGGCTTTGCGAAGGGCCGCCACGAAATCCGTGATGGTCTCGCCTCCGGCCTGGCTCCGCTTGTAAAACGCGTGCCGGCAGGCGATCTCCGACGGTTGTGGAGAAAAATGGGCCTTCAGCTTCTCTGTGATGTCAGCATAGGAGACAGTCTTCATATCTGTCGGGGCCATTAACGACCTGGCAATGTCGAAGGTTCCCTTCCCGCAGGAACTCAGGAGGCACGCCCGTTTCTTGGCCTCGTCTGTAATGTCGTGTGTCTCCAGATGGAACTCGAACCTGGATAGGTAGGAGTCCCAGTCTTCTGAGGAGGGTTCGAAGCACTCGAACTTCTGGCTTCCAGCCATCGTGGGAGACTTGGGCACCGGAGCTGGTGGCGCCTCCGTCGGATCGGCTGCTGCGCTTTGCTCGCTTCCTTCCGAGTCCGAAGTGTGGATGTCCGCAGGGCTGCCTACCTGCTCTAACATCCCACCTTCGTCGCCAATTGTTAGATCGCACTAACAAAGGACTCTTAGAGTGATTCAGCAAGTGATTCAGCTTTATTGGAAGTAACGAACAAGCACTCAACTCAGTAAGAAACCAGAACAAGAAACAGTGGGAGCTATGCTCCTTTTAAACATAACCGGGCTAATGTAGCCACGCCTATTTACAAATAACAACCAATGAGATTGCTCAGTTAAGGACCAATGGGAGTCTTTCCCTCCCAGGGAATAGTACTGTTCTGATTGGTCGCTGTTACAAAGCGACCAATAGGAAGTTCGGTCAGAGGAGCCCTAGCTTGGCTCGAAGCTTAACATAGGAGTCTAATGAGGTGATTCATGTAATCGTTTCAATACATTACAAGAGTTTTGAGTACACCTTAAAAACATAAACAGAGCCCCGTGTTCTGTTTCCTGCAATGACCAGCCAGATAGTTATAGAAGCCTACAAGTATTACAGGATGATGATGGCCACTCTGTTACTTACCCACCCAGCATAGGGTTGCCAACCTCCAGGTGGGGCCTGGAATTCTTTCAGAGTTACAACTCATCCCAGGACTACAGAGATCAGTTCCCCTGGAGAAAATGGTGGTCTGGGAGGTGGACTTTATGGCATAATACTGCACTGAGGTCCCTCCTCCCAAACCCTGTCCTCCCTAGCTCTACCACCAAATCTCCAGGAATTTCTGCACAGAGTTGGCATCTCCTGGGCTGACAGCTGATCTCCAGACTATAGAGGCCAGTTCTCCTGGCAGAAATGGGTACTTCAGAGGGTGAACTGTTATAAAATTAGATGCTGAGCTCCCTTTCATCCCTAAACTCTGCCCTGCACAGGTACTGGTGCCCCAGATATCCCGGAATTTCCCAAGCCGCAGTTGGCAAACTCTGAAGTTTACTGCCTCTGAACGTGGATCGTCCATTCTGTTGTTATGGCTACTAGCCCAATGATAGACCTGTTCTCCATGAAGTTAAACCTGAATTAGGGCTGCCAACCTCCAGCTGCGTCCTGAAGATCTCCTGGAATTACAACCAATGCTCCCTCTAAGCTGTGGAGTCTTGTGAGCAAAACTTCTACTTTGTGAGCTACTGGCATTAAAGTTGTGAGTGAGCAATTTGGCTGCTGCATAAATCAGTTTGCTCTGGAGCCATCCTTCCTGAGCCAAAAATCTGTGAGCTGGAGGCTAAAAAACTGTGAGCTAGCTCACACTAACTCAGCTTAGAGGGAACACTGATTACAACTCATCTCCAGACTACAGAGATCTGTTACCCTGGAGGAAACAGCAGCTTCTGAAAGCAGAACCTGTGGCATCATAGTCCTGGTGAGCTACCTCTCCTCCCCATACTCTGCTCTCCCCAAGCACCACTCAGAAATCTTCAGGAATCGCACAAACTGGAGTTGGCAACTCTCCTCTGAATACCAGTGCTAGGAGACAACATCAGGGGAAGTCCTCAACCTCCAGGACAACTGGTTGCCCACTGGGTGAAGCAGGATGCTGGACTAGATGGCCACTGGTCTGATCCAGCAGGGCATCGCTTACGTTCTGCATTCATCTAAAGGCCCATCTCTCACTTTATGATCCCCATGCATCAGCTATGGTCCTCAGCTTGCCACCATCTGTTGGTTGTTCCCCTTGCCTGGCAGTGAACCAGGGCCGAAACTTTTTCTATAGTACTCCAACCCTGTGGGATGGGCCCCTTCAGGAGGTGAGTGGGTGCTGGATCTGAAAGTTTTAAGGAGGCTCTGCAAGACTATTTTATTCTCTAGGGCTTTTAATGGGAAATAGGTTGCAGGCATTTAGCAGGGGTATTTGAGGCTTTATTGTACTTTGTATGTTTTACATTTGTTTTTGTACACCGTGTTAATTCCCAAAGGAAAGGTTGGGTGTAAATGTTTAAATAAAAAAATCATTTAGAAGTATTAAAGAGCAAGAGTCCAGTAGCACCTTAAAGACTAACAAAATATGTAACAAGGTATAAGCTTTCATGAGTCACTGCTCACTTCTTCAGATACCTGGTACCCCAACAAATTCATGGTG